GTTCACATTCTTACCATTCGTTTTGTGTTTGTCATCTTCAGGACTCGACCTGTTCTCCTTCCTTCAGACCCCCGACAATCAGGTGAGAATATCGGAACTTTTATAATTCCGCTCAGAGTTGTGTTATTGTGGACTAATAGTTGTGCTCTATAATCGCTGCTTGGACTTTGTGAATGTCCTCTGACAGGGTTGTCTAGACCCCCCACCTGATATGGTAGCATGGAGGGGGCAGACAAGGTGGAAAGTGCAGAACAGGTTAACATGGAGGGTGGCCTACACTGGAGAGGATGACATGAGGGCAGATCTTCCCCTTATGGGCTGCTGGTGAAGGTGTGCGAGGCAGCAGATGTACCCACTCTGCTCATCCTCTAACTATGGGTTGTCAATGGTAGCCTTGGTAATGGCGGCCAGTGGTGACAATGGTGACCTTAGCAATAGTGACCTTCAAAATGGTGGCTTTGGTAATGATGACCAATGGTGGCCTTGGTAATGATGACCAATGGTGGCCTTGGTAATGATGACCAATGGTGGCCTTGGTAATGATGACCAATGGTGGCCTTCAAAATAGTGGCCTTGGTAATGACCAGTGGTGACCTTGTTAATGATGACCAATGGCGGCCTTGGTAATGATGACCAATGGCGGCCTTGGTAATGATGACCAATGGCGACCTTCAAAATGGTGGCCTTGGTAATGATGACCAAGACTTCAAATGGTGGCTTGGATGATGACCAATGGCGACAAAGTGGTGGCCTTGGTAATGATGACCAATGGCGACCTTTAAAGTGGTGGCCTTGGTAATGATGACCAATGGCGACCTTCAAAGTGGTGGCCTTGGTAATGATGACCAATGGCGACCTTCAAAATGGTGGCCTTGGTAATGATGACCAATGGCGACCTTCAAAATGGTGGCCTTGGTAATGATGACCAATGGCGACGTTCAAAGTGGTGGCCTTGGTAATGATGACCAATGGCGACGTTCAAAGTGGTGGCCTTGGTAATGAAGACCATGGCGACCTTCAAAGTGGTGGCCTTGGTAATGAAGACCAATGGAGACCTTCAAAGTGGTGGCCTTGGTAATGGAGACCTTCAAAGTGTTGGCCTTGGTAATGAAGACCAATGGCGACCTTCAAAGTGGTGGCCTTGGTAACGATGACCAATGATGACTTTCAAAATGGTGGCCTTGGTAATGACCAGTGGTGATCTTCAAAATGGTGGTCTTTGTAATGGTGACCTTCAAAATGTTGGCCTTGGTAATGAAGACCAGTGGTGGCCTTGGGTTATTTTGACTTCTTTTCCTTCATTTACAGCACTACAGCCCCTCAGTGATCACTTCCTTGGATGAACAAGACACCCTCAGCCACTTCTTCCAGTACCGTCCCACGCCACCCCATTATATGAGCCCCCTGACCCAAGCCATAACGGCATCCCACGGGAAGCAGCAGCAGCGCCAGCCGGATCAGCAGCATCGTGTCCACCAGCACGTTACGTGAAAGCCACGCCCACAGTGCCTCACAAAACCCCTCCTCCACGTTACCAGGGTGCCGACCGGACATCATATCCCTGGACTGAGCAGACACTTCTCGGTTGGTGACTGGCTCACCATGCCTCGCGGATGTATTCCAAGTCCCAGAATCCTCCTTGGGACCCGCTACCGCATGATCAACCAAGACAGACACAGGAATCTACCGCCATGGAGTTATTTTTTTAAATAGACAAAAAACATTTTCTGGTTTTAATGTTACGATGTCCCCTCTGTATCCACGTGGCGGGTATGAATGGTGATATCATAGTTTATGGTCAGGTGGGTTTTTTTTGGGGGGGGGGGGGGGGGGGGGGGGGGGGGGTTTATAGGTTTTTGTCTGTTTTTTTTTTTTTTTTTTTTTTTTTTTTTTTTATAGGGTTTTATTTTCTTTTTTTATAGGGGTTTTTTCTTTTTTTTTTTCTTTATATTTTTTTTCTTTTTTTTTATATTTTTCTTTCTTATAGGGGTTTTTTTCTTTTTTTATAGGGTTTTTTTTTTATGGGGTTTTTTTATAGGGTTTTTTTATGGGGTTTTTTTTTTTTATAGGGTTTTGTTTTCTTTTTTTTTAATAGGGTTTTGTTTTTCTTATAGGTTTTTTTTTTTTTTTTTCCTTTTTTATAGGGGTTTTTTTTTTTTTTTTTTTTATATATATATTTTTTTTCTTAGGGTTTTTTTTTCTTTTTTTTTTAATAGGTTTTTTTTTTCTTTAGGTTTTTTTTTTTCCTTTTTTTATAGGGGTTTTTTTTTTTTTTTTTTTTTTTTTTTGGGGGGGGGGGGGGGGAGGGGGTTATTTTTTTTTTTTTTTAAATAAATCAAGTGACACAGGGTGGCCCTACAGTACCTGAATGGTATACTCAGGGGGGTTTGGAAACCGTTGGTACGATGTTACAACAAAGGCAATTGGCCCCTTTGACATATCAGCCTGTTATTAGGTTGGTTGCAGACATGGGAAATTTATCTCCGCCCATTTGTACAACCAGCCAATCAGAATTTGTCCTTTTAATGCCTCAAGCAAGCAATACAATGTATCTTTTTTTTTTTTTTTTTTTTTTGTATCATTATTATGGTTACAGAAATGTGGGTGGAGTCTGACTTTTCTATGGCCAGATTTTAGGGGTGGGGATAATCCGTGCCCCCCCCCCCCCCTCCTTGTTGCGTCTTGTTCTTCCAGGCGTGTGCGCTGCTGGTGGGAGGGGTTTCTTTTGGTCATGTGACAGCATATTTGCGTGCCATTAGAAAGTACATATGTGCTGAGAGCGCGCGCCCTGCATGTGTCCGTGACTCACGGAAAGGTCCTGATGTCCCCTTATGATTGGGACCGCCGTGATTCGCTGCCACATGATCCTAAAACCCCGCCCACCTCCTGAAACTTAAAGGGCCGGGAGGCGCTGGCACAAAGGGGTTCTAAATGCCAGGGGAAAGGAGGGGCTGGTGATCATGTGACCATTGTGATTGGCTGTCGCAGTGGTCACATTGATGGGAGCTGGTCCTGCATTGTTAGTTGGGACTGAGGAGCATGCTCTTTGACAAAAACATCGGACGCATGCGTGGGCGCTAAAGCCCCACCCCTTTTTCTGCACATACGTGGCAGCAAAAGGATAAAAAGTATTTTTTGAATCTTTCTACTGCAAATGCCTCCCCTCCTCCAACGTGGAACCTTCTTCGTTCTCTAAGGTTGTCCCCAACTTCCTCCTCAGTCCTGACCCCTCCAGACCCTCAGAAGGCACGTCATGGCGCAGGCCGGGCTCACAGTATGGAGCGGCACGCTCACGTCTAAGAACAAAGACTTTTCCTCGGTTTTTAGCACCCAATATTTATTGGTTAATCATCTCTTTTTAAATTATGGACGGTAGTCACGACTCAAGATAATCAGGACTGGGCCACCACTAGGCCTGCGATCATTCCACTCACCTTCAAATAAAGCATTATCACCTATACATGTAATACCTCCTGCAGCCTGCGTGCGGCGCCACATCCTGGCTATGACTAGGCACTGCACCGTTTGTGTGTTTTTTTTTAGTTGGGTTTTTGTTTCTTTGTTAGTTGGGGGGGGGGGGTTTTGTTTTTGTAGTTGGGGTTTGTTTTGTTTTTGTAGTGGTTTTTTTTTTTTTTTGTAGTTGGGGTTTTTTTTTTTTTTGTAGTTGGGGGTTTTTGTTTTTGTTTTTTAGTTGGGGTTTTTGTTTTTTTTTTTTGTAGTTGGGTTTTTTTTTTGTTTTTTTTTTTTTGTAGTTGGGGGTTTTTGTTTTTTAGTTGGGTTTTTTTTTTTTTTGTTGGGTTTTTGGTGTTTTTTTTTTTTTTGTAGTTTTTTTTTTTTTTTGTTTTTGTAGTCGGGGTTTTTTTGGTGTTTTTTTTTTGTAGTTGGGGTTTGTTTTGTTTTTGTAGTTGGGGTTTTGTTTTTGTAGTTGGGGTTTGTTTTGCTTTTGTAGGGGGTTTTTTTTTTTTTTTGTAGTTGGGGTTTTTTTTTTTTGTAGTTGGGGGGTTTTTTTTTTTTTGTAGTTGGGGTTTTTGTTTTTGTTTTTTTAGTTGGGGGTTTTGTTTTTTTTTTTGTAGTTGGGTTTTTTTTTTTTTTTAGTGGTTTTTTTGTAGTTGGGTTTTTTTAGGGGGGGGGTTTTTTTGTTTTTTTGTTGGGGGGGGTTTTTTTTTTTTTTTGGGTAGTTGGTTTTTTTTTTGTTTTTGTAGTTGGGTTTTTGTTTTTTTTTTTTTAGCTGTTTTTTTGGGGTTGAGTTGGGTTTTTGTTTTTTTTTTTTTTTTTTGTAGTTGGGTTTTTGTTTTTTAGTTGGGTTTTTGTTTTTTTGTTTGTTTTTTTGTTTTTTTTAGTTGCCTTTTTCTTTTCTTTTTTTGTGTATTTTAATGTTTGGTCTGTGGTTCTAAATGGTGGATATGAAGTGACTACAAGCTATTTTTTAGACTTTGCTGTTTTATTTTGTATAGTTTTTTTTTTTTTTTTTTTTTAACTCGCTGTCTTCTACCATTACATGATATTGTATATAGATGAATACAAAAAAACATTTTATATATTTTCTTTTTTTTTTCTTATTTTTTAAATGAGGTACACAAGCTCCGACGCTTTTACTTTCTATGAAGGTTTTGGCTCTCCCTTTCCGCCCTGCCAGAGACCAAAACCGCATTCCAGATCTCTTCCCCCGGAGCAGAAAGGGTTAATGCCACCGCGGGTAGCGACAGCGAGCTCGTGTTGGGTTTTTTTTTTCTTTCATATTTATGTATTTAAATATCTAATGTATTCTGTATTTAGTCTCTCTGGTTTTTACTTACTGGCTGACGATAGACATAATCCAAGAAAAAACCCTTTTTAACAGGAATAAACCCTTTTTATTTATTCAGTGTTCTGTCGTGTTGTACATATTGGTTCCTCGGGGGGCGGGGCCTGCTGAATCAAAGAGGAAACAAAACAGAAGGATTATAAAATAATTTATTTTTGATTCCTTCCCTTGAGGTTCTTTTTACATCCAGCTGGGATTATTCCTGGACTTGCAGATTTTCTAACCAAAGTTCCAAAGCATATTTGGTGCCGGTGCTCAGCCGCTCCACATCTTCCCCGCCCCCACCGGGGCCACGCCTACCAACACCGACACGTCCAGATCCTTCTGACAGAGAGAATTCCCACAGACCTCTGTGATCCTGGAGGAAGCCGAGAGAAAGATTACTACTAAATCTGATTCCTGAGGTCTGCAGAACATCGCTCCGTCCCATCCTGACAGATCCATACTGATATATTCTGCAGATTATTCCATCACTGACCTCTCTAGAGATCTGCAGAACATCGCTCCCTCCCATCCTCCTCCTGACAGATCCATACTGATATATTCTGCAGATTATTCCATCACTGACCTCTCTAGAGATCTGCAGAACATCGCTCCCTCCCATCCCCCTCCTGACAGATCCCTACTGATATATTCTGCAGATTATTCCATCACTGACCTCTCTAGAGATCTGCAGAACATCGCTCCCTCCCATCCTCCTCCTGACAGATCCATACTGATATATTCTGCAGATTATTCCATCACTGACCTCTCTAGAGATCTGCAGAACATCGCTCCCTCCCATCCCCCTCCTGACAGATGCATATTGATATATTCTGCAGATTATCCCATCACTGAGATCTGCAGACTATTCTATCAGTGGCCCTCTACAGATCTGCAGAACATCACTCCGTCCCATCCCCCTCCTGACAGATGCATATTGACATATTCCATCACTGACCTCTCTAGAGATCTGCAGAACTCCATCCCCCTCCTGATAGATCAACATTGATATATGCTGCAGATTATCCCATCACTGAGATCTGCAGAACATCGCTCCGTCCCATCCCCCTCCTGACAGATCCATATTGACACATTCTGCAGATTATTCCACCACTGACCCCCCTAGAGATCTGCAGAACATCGCTCCATCCCATCCCCCTCCTGACAGATCAACATTGATATATGCTGCAGATTATCCCATCACTGAGATCTGCAGCCCATTGCTCCGTCCCATCCTCCTGACAGATCCATATTGATATATTCTGCAGAGTATTCCACCACTGACCCCCCCTAGAGAGCTCCAGAACATCGCTCCGTCCCATCCCCCTCCTGACAGATCCATATTGACACATTCTGCAGATTATTCCACCACTGACCCCCCTAGAGATCTGCAGAACATCACTCCATCCCATCCCCCTCCTGACAGATCAACATTGATATATGCTGCAGATTATCCCATCACTGAGATCTGCAGCCCATTGCTCCGTCCCATCCTCCTGACAGATCCATATTGATATATTCTGCAGAGTATTCCACCACTGACCCCCCTAGAGAGCTCCAGAACATCGCTTTGTCCTATCCCCCTCCTGATAGATCAACATTGATATTCTGCAGATTATTCCAGCTAGAGATCTGCAGAGCATTGCTCCTTCCCATCCCCGTCCTGACAGATCCATATTGATATATTCTGCAGATTATCCCACTACTGACCCTGCTAGAGATCTGCAGAGCATCGCTCCCTCCCATCCCCCTCCTGACAGATCCATTTTGATATATTCTGCAGATTATTCCATCTAGAGATCTGCAGAACATCGCTCCGTCCCCTCCTGACAGATCCATATTGATAGACTCTGCAGATTATCCCACCACTGACCCCTCTAGAAACACAAATGAACGTACGGAATGGAGTCTGGAATGGCTGTCAGGTTTTTCCCAGAATGCTCCTCTCCCTCCTGAGCTGCCACTATGAGCTCAGCAACCTCCGGGTCCAGCCACAGACACGCGCTGACCTTCCTGTTCCGCTGGGCAGAGCTTCTCCTGTGACAGTGAAAACAAATCCCGACATTAAATCTCCGAGAGAAACAAACTGACCGCTCCGAGCCTGGCCGACCTACCTGCAGCTCCTGGTGGGTCTCCCTGGTGGTGACGAGAAGGTAAGTGACAATATGGTGTCTGGTGGGGAATCCGCAACTCAGCAGCGGGGGGAAGGCGGACTGGAAGACAAATTAGTTTTTGGTAGAATGGATTCCCAGCTCCGGGGTTTACTACAAACTGCCAAAAAGCCGAAATCCTGAATTGTGGGATTTAAATACATAGCTTCAAACTATAGATATTGATTTGGGGAGTCAATCACAGGATCCTCTGGGGTCGCTGAGGGACGCAGGATCTACCGGGGACGGGATCCTCGGGGGTCGCTGGGGGACGGGATCCTCGGGGGTCGCGGCATCCTCGGGGGGGGTCGCTGGGAGACGCGGGATCCTCGGGGGGTCGCTGGGAGACGCGGGATCCTCGGGGGCGTCGCTGGGAGACGCGGGATCCTCGGGGGGTCGCTGGGAGACGCGGGATCCTCGGGGGGTCGCTGGGGGACACGGGATCCTCCGGGGTCGCTGGGAGACACAGGACGTTTCTGGGGTCGCTGAGAGACGCGGGATCCTTCGGGGACGCTGGGAGACGCAGGACATTCTGGGGTCGCTGGGGGACGCGGGATCCTCCGGGGTCGCTGGGAGATGTGGGATCCTCCGGGGTCGCTGGGAGACGCAGGACATTCTGGGGTCACTGAGAGATGCGGGATCCTCCGGGGTCCCTGGGAGACGCAGGACATTCTGGGGTCACTGAGAGACGCGGGATTCACCGGGGACGCGGGATCCTCCGGGCTCGCTGGGAGACGCGGGATTCGCTGGGGGACGCGGGAACCTCCAGGGTCGCGGGATCCTCTGGGGTCGCTGGGAGATGCAGGACATTCTGGGGTCGCTGGGAGACACGGGATCCTCTGGGGACTCTGGGAGATGCGGGATCCTCCGGGGTCGCTGGGAGACGCAGGACATTTTGGGGTCACTGGGAGACGCAGGACATTTTGGGGTCACTGGGAGACGCAGGACATTTTGGGGTCACTGGCAGACGCAGGACATTTTGGCAGGGGTCACTGGCAGATGACACAGGACATTCTGGGGTCACTGGCAGACTGACACAGGACATTCTGGGGTCACTGAGAGACACAGGACATTCTGGGGTCACTGAGACACAGGATGCTCCAGGGTCACTGACAGACGCAGGACATTCTGGGGTCACTGGCAGACGCAGGACATTCTGGGGTCACTGGCAGACGCAGGACATTCTGGGGTCACTGAGAGACGCAGGACATTCTGGGGTCACTGAGAGACGCAGGACATTCTGGGGTCACTGGCAGACGCAGGACATTCTGGGGTCACTGGCAGACGCAGGACATTCTGGGGTCACTGGCAGACGCAGGACATTCTGGGGTCACTGGGAGACGCAGGACATTCTGGGGTCACTGAAACACACAGGATCCTCCTGGGGATTAACAATCCCTAAGCATGGGGAACAGAATCTACAAGCTGCTGTGGAATGGGGGTTGTACACAATTTACCTCCCAAAGCCCCAGGATCCTCCAGGGCGGAGTCTCGTTCCTCAGGTCCAGCCCAGTTTCCTCCTGGAGTTCTCTCAGCCCGGCCTGGAGGAGCTGTCAATATGAACGTGTACAGAAAAATGAATCGGGTTTCCTCCATAGAGATATGATACAGATGATGGAGCCTTTCACTCACCTGCTCTCCCGGCTCCATGTGACCACCTGGAAACATAAAATGAGAACAGCTGAAACATTCTCACCCGGCGCACTGCAAGCTAAGAAACAATAACATATAAGGGGAAAATATTTTTTCAAAAATTTAAATACTCAATTTTTTCTCTGCACAGGGTGACCTGGGGTCACTGGGTGACACTGCACGCTCCGGGGTCACAGAATGCTACAGGGTCACGGGGGGACACAATATACTCTGGGGTCACTGGGAGACGCAGGATGCTCTGGGGTCACTAGGTAAGGCAGGGTGCACTGGGGTCACTAGGTAAGGCAGGGTGCTCTGGGGTCACTGGGGGACACATGATGCTCTGGGGTCACTGGGGGACGCAGGATGCTCTGGGGTCACTGGACACTCCGGGGGTCACAGAATGCTACAGGGTCACTGGGGGACACAGGATGCTCTGGGGTCACTAGGCAAGGCAGGGTGCTCTGGGGTCACTGGGAGACGCAGGATGCTCTGGGGTCACTGGGTAAGGCAGAATGCTCTGGGAGGCGCAGGACGCTCCGGGATCACTGGGGGACGCAGGACGCTCCGGGATCACTAGGAGACGCAGGACGCTCCGGGGATCACTGGGAGACGCAGGACGGGTCACTGGGATCACTGGGAGACGCAGGACGCTCCGGGGACACTGGGAGACGCAGGACGGTCTGGGATCACTGGGCAGGACGCTCTGGGGACACTGGGTAAGGCATGATGCTTTGGGATCACCGGGAGACGCAGGATGCTCTGGGGTCACTTGGGGACGCAGGATGCTCTGGGGTCACTGGGGGACGCAGGATGCTCTGGGGTCACTGGGGGACGCAGGATGCTCTGGGGTCACTGGGAGACGCAGGATGCTCTGGGGTCACTGGGAGACGCAGGATGCTCTGGGGGTCACTGGGTAAGGCAGGATGCTCTGGGATCAATGGGAGACGCAGGCTGCTCTGGGGTCATTTGGGGACGTAGGATGCTCTGGGGTCACTGGGAGAAGCAGGATGCTCTGGGGTCACTGGGGGACGCAGGATGCTCTGGGGTCACTAGGTAAGGCAGGATGCTTTGGGGTCACTTGGGGACAGTCTGGATGCTTCAGTGTTACTAAGCGTCACAAATTGATCAGGGGCACTTTGGGGGTCACAGGGCACAGGGGTGTACTGGGGGTACGGAGACACGGAGACAGGAGCACACAAGGGCCCGGTACTCACGCACACTGCCACCACTATTAGCGCACATACTCTGACTGACGCAGCACACGGACCTGGTGGTACCCAGACGTTGGGGAAGATGTTCAGGGTTTTGGTTCTCCTCGTCAGCAGGACCTTCTTGTTGGCGGTCTGCAGCAAGATGGCGACTCCTACGTCCACACCTCGGTCCCGGATCTGCTCTGGCAGACGGGCAGCTTGATCTGGGCTCAGATTTTTGATGGGGCAGAAGGGCGGCCTCTGTAAGAAGAGCAGAATGAATTAGACGAGCGCACCGTCTGCGTTTGCAGGCACTGGGGTAGTCATGTGCTTCTATGCCATGAGGCAGAGGACCAGTAGGGGGGCTCCTGATTACATGAACAAAATGACTGGCTGTCAGTGATCACATGATCCAGAGCCCATCCTACCAGCTCAGTGACACCTCTGCTTTCCCCTTCTGTGTGCCTTTCAAGCTGCCATCACAGTCTCGGGCCAGTGTAAACATTGCTCTGCCTACATTCAGCCTGTCTGCACCCGGGACGGTCACTGCAGACCAGGACTGGCAACAAGAAAGCCATCTGCTTCAAATACCTGCCAGGAGCCATCAATGATGAATTCTGAGCTGCACTGCACTTGTGTAATCACTAGAGATCACAAACTGCCAGAACCTCATGGGCCCCGTATGCGTCCAGATCGCGTTTTTAGTACTGACTGCTGACCTGTAGCCGGACGCCACTGGAACCGCTGAATGGCTGATCAGAGATGACGAACCGGTTCTGGTCCAGTCCACAGTTCACAACAGCCGTGTCCTCGTGACTGGAGGAAAACTGTCCAGTGATACCCTAAAAAAAAAAAAAAAAAAAAAAAAAAAAAAAAATCAGAAATGCCTTGAAAATCACCCGAAAATATTCAGGTCTCCAGTTTACAAAAACTACAAGACAGATTTTAAAAAAAAAAAATGGAATATCCCTTTAAGGTTCCCTTGTGCATGCATTAGTTTTAAATGCGCTAGCACCACACATTAACGTGAAAAACTAAAGGCACAGAAGTTTTGGGTACTCAGGGCACCAAAACACACAGGGGTAGGGGGTTAAGGATTGAAGTTAGGGGTGCACAGTTAGGGGGTTTGGGTTTAGAGTTAGGGGTTCGGGTTAGAAAGATGGAGTTTTGAGTTGGGGGTTACTGATGGGGGGGGGTTATGGTTAGAGTTAGGTGGTTGAGGTTGGAGGGTTAGGGTTAGAGTCAGGGGGTTGGGGTTGAGGTTTAGAGTTAGTGGGTTAGGGTTGGGGGGGGGTTAAGGTTTAGTTAGTGGGTTAGGGTTGGGGTTCAGGGTTGGAGGATTAGGGTTTAGACTTAGTGGGTTAGGGTTTAGTTAGTGGTTAGGGTTCAGGGTTGGGGGGTTAGGGTTTAGTTAGTGGTTAGGGTTCAGGGTTGGGGGGTTAGGGTTTAGTTAGTGGGTTAGGGTTGGGGTTCAGGGTTGGAGAGTTAGGGTTTAGACTTAGTGGGTTAGGGTTCAGGGTTGGGGGGTTAGGGTTTAGTTAGTGGGTTAGGGTTGGGGTTCAGGGTTAGGGTTTAGTTAGTGGGTTGGGGTTCAGGGTTGGGGGGTTAGGGTTTAGTTAGGGTTGGGGGTTAGGGGGTTAGGGTTGGGGTTCAGGGTTGGAGAGTTAGGGTTTAGACTTAGTGGGTTAGGGTTCAGGGGTTAGGTTTAGGGTTAGTGGGTTAGGGTTCAGGGTTGGGGGGATTAGGGTTTAGACTTAGTGGGTTAGGGTTCAGGGTTGGGGGGTTAGGGTTTAGTTAGTGGGTTAGGGTTGGAGTTCAGGGTTAGGGTTTAGTTAGTGGGTTGGGGTTCAGGGTTGGGGGGTTAGGGTTTAGTTAGTGGGTTAGGGTTCAGGGTTGGAGGATTAGGGTTTAGTTAGTGGTTAGGGTTCAGGGTTGGGGGGGTAGGGGTTTTTAGTTAGTGGGTTGGAGTTCAGGGTTAGGGTTCAGGGTTGGGGGTTAGGGTTTAGTTAGTGGGTTAGGGTTGGGGTTCAGGGTTGGAGAGTTAGGGTTTAGACTTAGTGGGTTGGGTTCAGGGTTGGGGGATTAGGGTTTAGACTTAGTGGGTTAGGGTTCAGGGTTGGGGGGTTAGGGTTTAGTTAGTGGGTTAGGGTTGGGGTTCAGGGTTGGGGGGTTAGGGTTTAGTTAGTGGGTTGGGGTTCAGGGTTGGAGAGTTAGGGTTTAGACATAGTGGGTTAGGGTTCAGGGTTCAGGGGGGGTTAGGGTTTAGTTAGTGGGTTGGGGTTCAGGGTTGGAGAGTTAGGGTTTAGTTAGTGGGTTAGGGGGGTTCAGGGTTGGGGGGTTAGTGTTTAGTTAGTGGGTTAGGGTTGGGGTTCAGGGTGGGAGGGGGGTTAGGGTTTAGTTAGTGGGTTAGTGGGTTGGGGTTCAGGGTTGGAGAGTTAGGGTTTAGTTAGTGGGTTGGGGTTCAGGGTTGGGGGGTTAGTGTTTAGTTAGTGGGTTAGGGTTGGGGTTCAGGGTTGGAGAGTTAGGGTTTAGTTAGTGGGTTGGGGTTCAGGGTTGGGGGGTCAGAGTTAGGTGGTTGGGTTTAGGAGGTTAGGATTTGGTACATAGGCAGCTACTTCTGTATGTTTCAGGGTATTACTCTAAAGCTGGCCATAGATAAATAGAAAGTCGTGCAGCTGAAAAGAGACCAGGCGGATTCCGATCCCTCTGTGGTGGTTGCCCACTCGAGAGAAGTCGATCTGATGACTGGATATTTTTCATTTGATCAGCGCCCGCAGTGGAGGATTCCCCGCTGTCAGAATAGCGCCTTGGGGAGGATTCTTCTATCCACCTCCACTGTGTGGATGAGGTGGGGGAATCCATCTATGACACGCTTCAATCAATGGATACATAATGCAACCTGCACAGCAATTCGTGGTAACGCGCATTTTAAGGCGTGTTATCGCAGCGCACGTATCAGGCGAAGGGTGACTATAGGGGGCTTTACCTGCACAAACCTCGCACACTGCAGCAGGGAACTCTCTTTGCTCAGATACACCAGGATTCGTTTCGCAGACTCCATCTTGGTCACCCGTCGTCCAGTAAGCTCAGGCGCGCGCTCTACGACGACGACGTCCAAAACTGCGATTGGTCCATACTGAAACAAGAGGGAGAATCGATGACGGGAGTCCATTATGGGCACTCACTGTAAAACATACAATCGTTAGACAGGAAAATAATACTTTGAAAAGTCAGTGAGATCCCCAAATCAGAAAATGAATCGTCCTCAGCATTGGAGACACACATTGTACTTTAACCAGGAAGCCATTCCTTCCCAGAATCCTCAGCGTCTAGAAAAAAGAAACTGAATGTTGGCGCCCCCTGATGGTAACAGAGTAAAAGGTTTTTTTGTTGGCCATCGTCAAGAAAAATGAGATTCAGATCTTTACCGTGACAAATGATCGATATATAGAACGAATAACTGATCTCCTCTGTTCTGTATGTATGGACTCTGCACAGTCCCACTTCTCCTGTCCCGGATGCCGGGTGTCATTCTCGGTATCTGTCCTTATTCTGTATGTATGGACTCTGCACAGTCCCACTTCTCCTGTCCCGGATGCCGGGTGTCATCTGTCTCGGTATCTGTCCTTATTCTGTATGTATATGGGACTCTGCACAGTCCCACTTCTCTGCACAGTCCCACTGTCCCCGGATGCCGGGTGTCATTCTCGGTATCTGGTATGGACTCTGTCCTTATTCTGTATGTATGGTATGGATATTTTTATTTGTATAAACAAACAAATTACAAGGTAACAAAACTGTAACCATCATCATAAAAAACACACAAACCAACAATGTAACAACTGCCTACATCTTCACGACAGAAAGTCGACAAATTTAACTAATGAAAGTTCTGCATAGAATTTGATGCTGTAAATAAATTCCTCCCATTTTATATTCCTTTCGGCTCTAAACTCTTTTTATAAATCGGAATCTGAGTCACTCCGCCGACTACCAGTTTCCATATCGGATTCTACAAATACGGGAGCAGGGGGCGGGCGCTTCTTAGTGGGCGGGTCCTCCCCTGAACTAGCTGCAGATTCCCTTTCTACTTCTTCCTCCATTTGGGCCTCTAGATCACAGGAGTTGGCATCTGACTCTGATAGGACATCATACCGGTTGCTGACTGCCATACTACCTTCTGGCGCCCTTCTCACTTTCTTAACGGATTTCTGCACTCGGGTCCACTCACTTTCAGGTTTACGGGTGGCCTTGTCCTTCCTATTCCTTCTCTTCTGCCTGGGAATGTTCTCCACAGAGGCAGGAACTGAAATGGATGGGATGGCCACAGATGGCCGCTGCTCCTCAGTCTGCTGAACACTGCCCTCCTGCCCGAGGCTGGCCCCTTGGACTTCTGGGTTTACCTCCCCCTCAGTTGATATGACCCCATTCATTAAGGCTTCCTCCTCCAGGTGTTCTGCTGCCACCAGAAATTCCTCATCCACTGATTCCTCATCCCTATTGTGGAAAGCCACCGGGCAATCTCTGTGCAAATGGCCAAGCCTACCACATAGATTGCACTTGATGTTCTCACAGGTAGAACTGACATGGCCGACCTCCCCACACAGATTACACTTCATGATAGAGCAGACACTCTCCACATGACCCGACCTACCGCATTTGAAACATAGCCTGGGCTGACCTGCATAGAAGCAAACTCCCCTCTCCCGCCCAATGAAGAAGGAGTTTGGAAGGTGATGGGTGACATTGTTACTCTGCCTCAGCTTGACAAGAACCCTCCAACCTCCAGTCCAGATCCCATCACTGTCCCTAGTTTTGGTCAGATCAGAGACCATCTCACAATGCCTTCTGAGCCAGACTACAATATCCTGGGGGGGGCACAGACTACAATATCCTGGGGGGGCACAGACTCATTCCAGAAAATGATGTTCACGTTTGCTGTGTCAGGTTTGGAGATGGGGATGAAGGTGAAATTCTTCCACCCCTCTTTGTCCCGAAACCCACTAAAGCTGGCCCAGAACCTGTCCAAGCCAGACATGAGCTTGAAGCTGACATCATACCCCCGTCTGTCAGGGAGGTTGATGACTGCCAAAATATCTGCGGGCACAAACCCCATCTGCTGACACAGCAACTCCCTAACTACAAACCTCCTATCAGGGAGCTCTTCTCTGGAACCCCTATGCTTCAACCTGACCACGTTCCTCCTCTTGAAGGCCTGACCAGTATAACCGGCATTGTTGGAAAAAGAAGGAGCCCCACGGCTCCAG